GGCCCAGTCCTGGCTGTTGCAACCATTTGGAGAATCAATAGGCAAATACAAGACACCTCTCTCTCTGTCTCTCCTCCCTCTGTAACTCTGTCCTTCAAATAAAAATAAGTAAATTTTTTTTTCTTTTTTAAGAGAACTATTTTCCTGGAAATCCATAGATGATGATGAAATAGACTCATCCCACAGGGGTGGGGAATGTCCGGCCTGAGGATTGCATCAAAGCCCACAACAATGTTGGGTTTGGTCATGGGAAAGCAACCTCAGGCAGGATTTGAAATTCAATAAATCTAAAGCAGGCTCATCCATAAGTTGATAATTTTGTATTGCCTGCACACAGTGTTTTAAATATCCAAATGGCATCTGACAGAAAAAGGTTCCTGACACCTGACAAAAACTGACCATTTACCCCGTAAGAGAAACTCAAGAGGGAAACACTGAGAAGACACATTTCGAAGGCAGAAGGAGGTGAGCTCGCCACTGGAGTGATCAGCACGTACAGTGTGGATGCAAAGGCAGGCGGACGTGATCCACACGCTTCCATCCACAATCCCAGGAGGACAGACAGCGCGGCAGCTACCGGACTTGAGAGGAGCGACGTGTTAAAGGTATTTCAGTTGCTTAGGAGGTGGCCGCAGTCTAAAGGTAGGCTCTGCTAAGCAAACGGGGTCAACATCCCAACAGTAACCAATAAGACAATAGAAATTAAGGAACTAAGCCCTAAACAAAGGAAAGAGTAGAGCAGAATGGGAGCAACGCATTGCAAAGCAACTGCAAAGGAAGACACGAGGAAACAAGCCAAGACAGGACACGCCAAACAACAGGACAGGACAGAAAAACAGCAGTCCTCACAATGAATTTAAAGAGACTGAGCACACACAAAACCAAGGTGCTTCCGTTGTGAGACAAGCACAACTAGGAGAGCATGGGAAGTCTCAACGTAAAGGACAACCAAAGATAAGCAGACAGACGTGAACCCATTGAATGCTCGAGTCGCACACAGGGAGAAGCGGCAGCAAAGCAGACACTGAGACAAATGCATCGTGGGGTTCCCAAAGAGTCCACGTCACTGCGATTATCTTAAATGTTCAATGTATGCCCTTGACTGAAGATGCAGTCAGTAAAATCACCTGTTGCAAATTCATTTTTAAACCTGGCAAATTGGGGAAGAACTGGTCAACCATGGAATGGCATATGATAGCAAATCTCAATGCTTTTTAAAATTACTGATGGAACACACAGATAAAAAGTGAATTAAATTTTGGAACATTTTGATAGGCTAGCTGATAAGCTTCAAATATTGCACCACTTAAAACCCTGTTTTCCATATCTAGAGACCACACATTCTTCCCAAGCATTTAGAGAACAAAAGTTACTTCTTACGAGGCCATAAATTTAGTCTCAATAAAATCCAGAGATCAGTATCAGAGCAGCCCATGTCCTCAGCCTCCATCACCATGACACAGGAAACCAACAAGATAACAGCAGGAGCAGACATTTGAAAATTCAAAACAAACCTCCAAACCACCATGGGTTAAAGAAGAAACAAAAGTGAACAATTTAAACACCGGGAATGAAAAAATAATTAAAACACATTTCAACACTTCATTCCACAAAGTTCATAGGAAAAAAAATTGATAGCTTTAAATACTTCTGCTAGAGAAGAATATCATCCAATCCAAGTCTGAAAAGGCACGTGGAAAGGAATCCCACCAGACTACAGCGAGTAATGAAAAGGAGAAATTAAGAGGATGGAAAACAAGACCACAATTGTATCCTTGCAGAGTGATAATAAAACCACCAGCCTGACAGCCAAGTTGATTGGGCAACAACAGAGGGAAGCCACAAATATTAGAAATAAAAACACTCCCAAAGTAAGAGTGCAAACATGCCCCTGCCGATTGGAGTCTCCAACTGCACTGGGACCTGGCGAACATCCCCTGGCATCCAACAGTGCCACCACCCACTTATCCCCAGCGGCAGGGCAAGGATGGGTGCAGCAGGTGGGGCTAGGCCTTCTGGATGGAGTCCTAGTGGCAGAGACGCACAGCAGGCTCCTGAGTGGCACCTGCTCTCTCTTCAACAGAGTCACTGCACCCCTCCAAAATGACTTTTTCTTCTAAAAGGAAAAGAAGAACAGATGTGGAAAAAGAAAACCAAGTATGACCCACTCTATTTCTAGAGGCATCCTGAAACCAGGTTCCTGGGGGCAGACAGAAGCTCTCTTCCTCCCAGCTGCAGCATCGGAGCAACTGGTACAAATGGAGTCATCCATTGCAGGTGCACTGGTCAGGCGGTAAGTACACGCATCGCTGGGGAGAGGCACTCTGACGCACCCTTCTGCTTTATAGAATGTATTATTCTGATTGAGATCTGAGAGCCAGACCAGCACAGGATGTTAGCGAAGCCTTTACTGGGGGGGTGGGGGTGCTGTACGGAGACCTCCACTCTCTTGCCTTGAGAATGAGGAACCAGCAGGAGGCGGGCTTGAAACAGCCCTGCTCCCAGCGCTGACATTGGTTTTCACTCATGCTTGAAGCTGTTCTAGGTTGCAAGCTTCCACGAGGGTGGAGGAGGCTCATGGGACACTCTGACTTGCCCGCCAAGAGAACCAGAATCCTGCCCAGCCAACCAAAACACAGGATGTGCACCTGCCGTCTGGCTGATTGTGGGTCCTGACACCACGACTGGCACAAAATGTCACAACAGCCACAGGACCGTGAGAGTCACACAACAAATCCACAAGTTCACCAGGTTAGAAAGTGGGAGTGATGTCATGTTTCGTGGACTTGGCCGAAGGTCTTGGAAGCATCCCGAGGAGGGAATTTACAACCATGGTCCCTGGACTCGAGTCCAGTCAATTACATAAAAGGTGACCCTGCAGGTCCTCACTATTGCAAGCTTTAGGTGCGTTCAGCAAAGTGGTCCCTCACCCTGGATGCTACAAGGATTACGCAGAAGAGCCACATGGGTGCATCCTGGCATCTGATCTCCCTGTCCACTCCCTAAGCTTTCTTTTAGCTCTGCTGTGTAACCAGTGCTTTAGACTTCCGGTCGGTGGAAAACACACTGGACCCAGAGTCTTAGCTGAGGACAGAACTGACTGTCCCACTCTGACCAACACAGACTGGTTCATATTCGAACGGGAGCAAGCAAACCAGGAGGCGTTGCAGGACTCTGGGAGAGAGTGCCGATCCAGACTGCCGACTCCGTGGGAAGAGAAAGCTTTCCTCTCAGAACTGCAACCCAAGACCCGGGCCAACCAGAAGCAGCACCGAACTCCTGGACCGGAAGGCAACCTCCCCCACCGGCTTCAGGAACCTGCCTGGGGCCCTAGGGGTGCGTTCTCAATATTCTTTTCCTTGAAGATTGTTTGGGTTGTTGTTCTGGGGACAGTAGCCCAGAGCTGACCCTGATGGCATTTTAACCATTGTAACAGCCTTCATCCGACACCTAACTCACCCCGTGAGAAATCTAAGACCCAAGAGGTTAGGTGATTCCCTCGGGGTACACAGCTGGCTGCAGACCCAACCAGGACCCGCGTCCTGACCTCTCACCGGTGTCCATGCCATGTGACAAGAGTCACTGTCAAGGCTCCACAGGACCACCTTGACACAGCCCAGCACATTGCTGGCCCTGACTGCCGCTGCAGCAGCCCTGTCGGGAGCAGCTGTGGAGACAGTCACTCGAGCAGCCACTTCCCTAGCAGTGCATGTACCTTTTGCCATCACAGCCCAGGTGTCTACCCTGCAGGTGTGTTCTGCCTGGGATGTGGGCACAAAGCAGCCTTGTGCACACAGCAGAAGCAGCACCCTACCAGAGGCAAGCATGGGAGATGACACTAACTTTCATGCCATCCTCCTCCACCCACTATCCCTATGGACAAGATCCACACAATCTGGAAAGCTGACCCAGCCTTCCCCACAACTGGAGCTCAGAGATCCCCAGTGGCCCTATCCCCCACGCATGGCCTCCCAGAACACCTGCAGCCTACATGGTCCAGACAAACGGACACCAGACTCCAGAGTACATCACCCATGGCAGTTGAAGACTCCAGGCTGTCCCACACCTTCCTAGCACATGCTTTCCAAATGTCCATCAGAAAAGGGAAGTGTCTCAGTTTCCCATGTCCTCAAGCACGTGAAATCACTTTTCAGAAACCAAGCTACCGCTCTGCGATTCTGCCCAGGTTTCAGAAAACGGTTACCCCTGCGCCCACGTCCAATGAAATCAAAGAGGGGCTTGCTGCAGCCCACAGGCATACAAACCACAGCTCCAGTGAGAGCGCAGAGATCAGAGGCCAGGGCCAGGGCGAGGAAAGAAGTGCACTCTGGGACCAAGCGCCCCGTAGGGACCTAGCAATTTCAAGTGCGTGTGCAAGGCTCACAGCCTCTCCTTCTGAGCCCTCTTTAATGCGCTGCCTTGAGAGAAGTCCAACTCTCACCCACATCTCCACGTTCCCAACTCCTCTCGGATCTTTGTGCCACAACCTCTTTACTCAAAGCATTTCCACTGCCCCCAAGCTCAGACCACCATTTGGACAACGGGAGGGGGGGTGTTATTTGCCCTGCTGCCCACCCTCCCCCCGCTCTCGAGACCACCGAACAATCGTACCTGCCCACGCGCTCACCCCAGAGATGCAAGACCCGGTCACCTCCTGCCACTGCGCCAGCCTGCACTCAGGTCTCCCCGCAGGGTGGATTCCGGAACAGGTGTGCAACAAGCACCTCTAACTTTCTTTGAAAGTTTCCTTGACATCTGAAGCTACTTACGGGCACTGGCAGTGAATCGTAAGGTTTCTCTCCCGCCCCCGCCCCACGCGCAGCCACACGTGGGAGCAATCTGGCCTGTCTCCCAGACGGAGCCCATTTCCAGTCCCGATCCCCGCGGGTCGCCTCGGAGTTAGGCTTCCCGCACCTTCTGGCTGCGCCGCAGCCGGAAAAGCCGAGCAGCGATCGCCCTCTCCCGCCGGGCACCGTGCCGGGCTCCCGGGCGCGCCATACCTCGCTGATGATGGTGGAGCGAGCCTGGGCGTAGCGCCAGCCGCGGCGGCAAGGCACGAGGGGCGCGGAGCGGTTGGGGAAGGCGGCGAGCGGGTCGGTGCAGCTGAGCGCGCCCTCGCTGGCGCCGGTGCTGGCGTTGGCCGCCTCCAGGAGGTAGCGCTGGCAGCGGCCGTCGCCGCCGGGCTCGGGCGCCGTGCGGTTCCACTCCTCCTCCGGGCTCCAGCCGCAGCGCTCGGCCAGCGCCTCGGCGCTCGGCCCGCGGCACCAGTAGTGGTCAGGCTGGCTGCCCAGGAAGACCACGCCGACGAAGAGGAAGGCGAAGGTGATGCCCGTCAGGCACAGCAGCAGGAACACGCGCCGCTGGAAGGGCCCGAACTCTCCCGCCCTCTGCAGCGCCTCGTCGAAGGAGGGCATGGTGCGTCCTGTCCGCTGCGCCCGCACCCGCGCCCCGCCGCCGAGTGACCCGCGGGCCCTGCTGGCGGCCGCTCTTTACCCCGCCGCCTCCCCTAGCCTCCCGCCTCACTCGCTTTGGCGCCACGCCCGCGGCCGCAGCTCCTCCCGCTCCCCGCCCCCCGCCGTGGGCGCTCGCCCGGGACGTGGGCCCAGGGGACCATGCCGCAAGCCCGGCGGGCAGGGTCCGAGTCGGGGGGCGGCGGGATTCCGGCTCTGCAGGGCTGCATGGCGCGGAGACCCGGCCCGGGACAGCAAGTGACAGGCGCAGCCTCGGGCCTGGCGCGCGGCTCCATTCGCCCCCTGCCAGCAGCCTGCCCTTCGATCCGCCCGGCTAGAGCTCCAGCAGGGGACACTTGCAGGATCGCTCCAGCACTCCAGGCTGCCCCGCGGTCTCCCGGGCAGTCGGGCCGCTGGACCCGGGAGACCCGACAGCTGTTTGCCCTGCGCTTGCGTGCCCTGCGCTTGCGTGCCCGGCGCGGTGTGTAGTACCGCCTGCCTTGGACCCTCCCCAGGGCTACTGCCACTCAGTCACCACGGCTCAGGCTGTGCGACTTTTTCAAAGAAGCGATTGGGCCACCCACAAAGGTGAAGCGACTTGCCCAGAGGCATGGAAGCTCGGAGCGGAGAGGCAGGCCGCCTCCAGGACAACCACATCCAGGTGTCCTTGGCTCAGGCCTTCCAACTGGCTCTCCGCCCGTGCCTCCGAGGAGGCTGCGTGCAAGTCTTGTTTTTCACTTCGTTGCTCCCAAACTGCGCAGAGCCCTGGAGGATCTCAGCCCGTGCCAAGACGCCTTGCCCCAACGGGTCCCCCGCTGCTTCCAGGCCAGAGCCTGTGACTGAGCGTCCCGCTGTCCTGGTTCAACCTCCTCCAGCTCTGCACCATTTCGGAGAATTGCTCCAGCTCTCATCCCCCACCCACCCCAGAGGAATTCTCCCATCTTCTATCTTCATCCCTAGAGGCCCTCCAGCAAGTCCTGGATTCCAGCAGGCCTATCCTGACCCTGGGTAGTGAAATGAACCAGCCCGCGTTTCCCTTCCGTGTAAACTAGGCTCATTTGGGCCTCCAGCTTGGAGTCCAGTGAGGCCTGAATGAACCAGCGGCTGGCGATGCACCGTGTAGCACTAGCCTTCATCTTGCTGCTCCGCATGGCTGCTGACCTTCCCGGAACTGTCCCGGAGGGCTGCAGACACTGTGGCAAGGACCACCCGAGCTGACGCAAGGCCAAGTTCCCACTCACTGAGTGCTGGTTTCTGTTGTCTTCCCTTGGGATGACAACCTGTTGCCTCCTTAGCTAGCAACAACTTGTGCTTCTGCCCGTCTCTGGCTCTGAACTCTGGTCTGGATTTTGAACTGGACCGAACCACAGATGCACTCCCCTCCACCCCAAACCCGGTTTGTCCTCACGCCCTGCCTCTTAGTGTCACCATGCAGGCGTCACTGCTCAGGCCTCAACCTAGGCTCTGTTCCCCTGTGCAAACTCACCTTCCTCTCACACCGCCCCCTTTCCTACCTTGCACCTAAACCTTTTCCACCACCTAACATCTGAGGGTACTTAAAATAATAATACTGCTAGGGGCATTAAAAGACACCTTTGGACCTGGTGCGATGGCTCAACAGGCTAATCCTTCACCTCTAGGCACCAGAATTCCATTTGGGTCCTGGTTTGTGTCCCGCCAGCTCCACTTCCCATCTGGCTCCCTGCTTGTGGCCAAAGCCTTGGGAACGTGCACCCACGGGTGAGGCTCAGATCAGCTGGGCTCTGGCTGGTGCTGTCATTTGGGGAAGAAAGATCTTTCTCTCTCTCTCTCTGTTTTTCTGTAAATCTACCTTTTAATAAATAAATAAATCTTTTTAAAAAAAAGAAACAGCTTTACTTTGGTACAAAAATCTTTTAAATTCATGCATAGTTTGTTACAATACATATTCTTCATGAAATTTCTGCAGCTCCGTGATAAGCCTGGATTTCCAGTTTCTTGCATTAACTTTTTAATTCCATTGTCCATGGGTTTTTTTAAAGCACCCTGGCATGTATACTTGTGCTCATTTGTTTTTCATATATTTCCACCTATTCACTTTACTTATCTCACTGGAGACCTGCTACTACAACTCAAGTGCCACAAGGGAGAAAGGTTTTGTCCTCCCACAAGGCAGGAATTTTTCCTTTTCACATGGCCCCTGCCACAACACTGTGTGACACCTGGCAGGTGTTCCGTCAGGGTCCGTGGAATACAGGGGTGTTCTCTGACCCCCCTCACGTGGATGTGTCTTCTCCTTTCCTCACTCAAGTTCACCATCTCTCTCCAGCCCACGTGGGGTCCTCCTGCAGCTGTCCTCTGCTCTTCCAGACTGCACAGAGAATCATTTTCCCATTGTGCAGCTCAGAAGGGACACCTCCGATGGCTCATCGTGTTTTCCAAATTCAGTTCTTCCTAGAGTATCTATTTGTTGTGGTGTAGCAGGTAAAGCCGCCATCTGAAACATCAGCGTCACCTATGCATACTGGTTTGTGTCCCAGCTGCTCCACTTCTGATCCAGCTCCCTGCTAATATATCTGGGAGAGCAGTGGAGGATGCCACAAGTGCTTGGGCTCCTGACCTCACGTGGGAGACCTAGAAGCTTCTGGCTGCTGCCTTCGGTCTTGCCGTGCTCTGTCCTTTGCAGCCACTTGAAGAGGAAGCCAGAAAAAGAAAGAGCTCCTTTCCCCCCTCTGTCTTTCTGTGACTCTGCTTTTCAAATGAATGAGATAAATTTTTTAACATGCATTTTTTTATTTGGAAGATAGAGAAATAGCAAGACAGACCACCTCCCACTTGCAGACTTGCTTCCCAGATGTGCCCAACAGTGGCAAATTAATCAGGGGGAAGACAGGGTCTTAGTTTGGTCACCTGTGTGAGCGGCAGGGACCTTGTCACTTGCTGCCTCCCCGGGTGTATATATATTAGCAGGAAGCAGAATTGGAGCAGGCACCTGAACCCAGGACCGCTGATGGATGTGGGTGTCCCAAGTGCTGCTTTACCTGCTGTGCCGAATCCCCAATGCTTCCCCTCTCCCCTGATTTTTCACCCTCCCTTTCAAGGTCCCAGTCTCTGTTCCCAGCTGCCCCTCACCAGGTGGCCCTCTTGTGGGCTCCTGCATAGAACAGCTAATCCTCAGCTCTTGCTGGCAATTTCCTGAATCCAGGCCCGACACATGGAGTTCTCCTCTTCATGAAATTTGATCATTGTAGCTTCCTCTGCCCAGGAAGATCTGGTCCAATGTCCCAGGTCAGCCGTCCCCAGCCATGGCCCCTGCCTTCCTTGGCTAGGGACGTTGGCTCCCTCAGTGTCGCAAACGCATCTATGAGCCCCGCCATAGAATGCCTCCGTTTACCTGTGTATCATGGTCATCAAGATATTTATTTTTAAATGCTTCCTTTTTTGTAGTAAGATCATCTGAACATGAACGCGAGTGGATTTGTGTGAACTCAGACCATTGGGCTTGAATCCCCTGTCCCACAAAACTAAGTAACAAGCTGCTCATGTTGGAATGAGGCTTGGAACCTAGGCACTATTGGGAGTCAGCTTTCACTAACCAGAGCGATGCAGCAATGCCACTCACCCCTAGACTGGGTCAAGTACTTCCTAGTACATCGCAGACCACAACGGGGTCTCTTCACTCCCCCTCCAGGTCCTTCCCCTGCCTCCTGTCCTCTTTCTAAGGCCGCCACTAAACCCTTCCTATGGGAGATGGGGCTGAGTCCTCAGAGTGAGGTCAGGAACTTGGTGCAGGGTGGGGGTGGGCCTCTGATGGGCACAACCCTTGGCATCTGGAGCAGAGTTGGGGGAGGAGAGGGTGGTGAGAGAGGGAGTGGAGCCTAGGAAGCCCTGGGCCTCAGTTGCCCAGGAGTAGCTATTCCCGTTCTCACCTGGATCTTGATGCTTTTACACTGTGCACACTGTAGGCCAACAGTGTGTAGTGTTGGGAGTGCTTTGAAATGGGCCCACGTGGGTGCCATGCTCCACACATCTTCCTGTCGCTTCCTTTTTCCACTCACTGGTGTTTTGTGAGTCCCATGAGCCTGGACGGAAGGAGGCCTGGTTCATACATTGTGAGTGCTACACAGCATTCTCACCCCACCCCACAATGTGTAGCAGCAGACGTTTTGTGCCTATCCCCATGGGTGTTTGTGCAATGGCTGGTTGAAGGGACCTTCATTCATGCAGCTGGATGGCAGAACGTGTGTATTTTGAGCCTTACCAGACCTGGCAGGGCTGCCTCCTTCCCAGGGCAGCGGCTCCAGTTCCCATCCCACCAGCAGGTGAGGTTTCCAGGTCCCACAGTTGCTCTGGTTGGACTCACGCATGCCAGCAGGCTCTGTGAGCAGCACAGATGTCCTCGTTTGCGTTTGTTCTCCTTGCCATGCCCCTGGGGAGCCAGAGTGAACCTGCACTCCAGCTGTCACTCGCGCTCCGGCCTCATGCTGTGTGAGCTGTGAATTCTTGAGCTACCTGCAGCTTTATCTTACTGCACTGTTCAGAAGTGTGTGCATTTCTGTCCTCCGCCTTTGTCAGCTGTGGCTGTGCCCTTACCTGTCTAGAGTCTCGGAGTGACAAACGTTTTGAAACTGGAAGCAAACACACCCATCAGCTTCCGTCTCCTTCACAGCTTCTGCTTTTCGAGTCTTTTTGAGGCAAAAATCCTGCTCTCAAATTGGACTTTTCCTGTCTTGCAGATGCTCTTCCTGCATTGCATTTTTCAGGTGGCATCATGGTGCAGTGTGCTGCCCACTTCTGCACATGGCCACCACATATTGAAGTGCCACTTTCCCCAAGGGTCAACCCTTCCCTCTGGGTTAGTAGCGCTGCCCCATCCTAAGGCCCCTGCCCACCAACCTTGGGGCCTTTCCCGTCCATATACATTTCAGATTTTACCACATTTCACACAACTTTGGTGGGAAATTTTGCTTGTGTGTGTGTATACCTTTTATTCCCCCAAACTTTGCAGGCATTTTGAGAGGA